AGCTAAAGATTATTATATTACTTAGGTCTATATAAAGTAGCGAAGGTCGAGTGTGTACTTATAGTGTCTATTCTCTTACTTAGCTAAAACAGAGTAGGTATATAACCTACCCCATAACAATGCTAATAGTAATAGATTGAGACCTACTACATGTGCCTGGGAATAGTTGGCGGGGTAACTTTGGTACTTCGGAAGTCGGACCGGTAAGAATTGTTTGGACATTTAGGTGGGTCACTCTTCAGACTAGAAGCCTGTTCGGTGTTCTAGTAATAACTCTAGTACTTTATAGTCCTAAGCTCTACTCCAAACTTCGCTAGGTGCCCTATACCCGTTTATCAGTTTAACTAGGTACGCCCGTGTTCTGGTTGCTCTCTTTCCTCTGCAGCCAACCAAACCTGGGCTGTCCATTGTTCATATCGAAAATGGCGTATATGGCTTTGAGCACGGCATCGCCGTAAATATCCATATTCATGCTACCCCTGCTCTGAATACTACCATACACCATGCCATTGCCGGCGTCGGCAAAGCCCAGATCCTCCTTCTGGAACTCCACTTGCTGGTTGCCAATGGCCAACGTCACCTGCGGCAACTGATCAACCGAGGTGTTTGCAGGGAACAAGTAGCCCTGGTTTGATTCGTCGTACTTGGAGCCGGGGATGGCTTTGTAGACTGCTTCGACGAGCGAGTCGTCGACGAGGCAGAGGGTAGTCCCGGTATCCATGATAGAGGTGTTACCACTCCGGTTGATAGTCTGACCGTTGATGGTGGCACTGGTCGACTCAATCTGCCAAAAGCCCTGCGAGGAATCGACAGGAGTATAGTTGGGGTTGGAGCCCAGGGCGTTTAGCACATCGGGTTCGATGTAGCCAAAAGTGTAGAAGCTCTGTGGCAGGAGTTAGAACTATACTGATGATCTAGCAAAAGGGCTTTTGGGTCTTACCTCGCCCTTGTCAGCCTCATTAGCGTCACGCCAGCTGCCAAGATAGGCCGTAAAGAGCTGCGGCTTGCCTGGGTTCTGGGCGATGATGTTATCGACAGGAGTCTTTTGCGGGGTGGGCGAGACGGTGTTGATGGTGTCAAACGCAAGACCTAGCAGGCCACTCCCGTTGCCCTGTAAGGGTTGTAAGCATGGCGAACTTTTTTGATGTGGAAAGCTGCCCAATGTTTACCTGGGCAAACTGCTGCGAGAGCTGCTTCGCAAGCTCGATAGCCTGGTTTTGGATCTTGATACCTCCCAAGTCCAGCACATCGGTGCCAACGTCACCGCTCGCCGACGATGAATCGCCGTACGAGATCTTCCAGGTGGAGCCTTCGAGTCGTTTAAAAGTGCTCGATTTGGTAGGATCGAAGGCGACCTGCTGGTTCTGGGTGTTTGCCTGACTGAGGACGTTTTGTGGCAGCTCCGTGGACCAGACCTATAGACGAGTCAGCTCCAGTATCTCTTTTCGAGGTGCATATCTGTGCCATGGGGGTTTATACGAACCCAGAGATCGGAGGATCCCGTGTCAAAGTCTAGGTATAGTTTTTGCTCAGGGGTGCCGACGCCGACCTCGCACAGATAGAGAGAATCGTTCTGGACGTCCTCGGCAGGGACCTCGCCCACAACATCGTCGCCGGCAGCCGGTGTGGTACCTCCAGTTGTAGGTTTATTAGTGTCGGTTCCGCTGCCACCCGTGGTAGAAGCAGTGCTATGGTGGTGATGCTTCTTCTTGGCCAAAACATAGTGGGCACGTATACGGCCGCCGACCTGGCCGCCAAATTTGCCCTGGGCGCGGAACTGCTTGGCCTGGAGGTATGGACCGGGCTTGGTGGGGTGGAAGCCATACTTTCTCATGGCGTGGAGGTAGGACTTGGTGCCGCTGGGCTTGTATACAGGGCTGCGCTGGACCGCGATGCGTTGGAGGGAAGCCATGGTGGGTGTGTTGGAGGTTGGTAACAGAGTATCAAAAAGCGTAAATGTGTGGGTAAGCAGATGGATGCAGATGGGTGATACGACGGCAAGGAGAAGGCTGCCTATTGATATATCCATGGTACTCCCACTAGGCTGCATGGTTTGATACAACTGATCATGCGTAACTAGCCCTCATGCCTTTCTTGCATCACTCTTGGTACAACAAACACCCGCCCACATGCACGCCCACTTGGGTACTCACTCACCTATGCACCCCCTACACCCATTATCATCATAGTTATCGTCATCGTCATCATCATCACTATCAAAGCAAACCTGCTCGACCGTGGTCCGTCTCTAGTGCCTGGTTTTGGGATGCAGCTCCCTCCAACCAGGCCCTCTGGTTGCCGCACGCTAGCAGCCCGGTCCTTACGCGTCCCGCCAATCCCGGTCTAGGGCCGGCGCTACTGGCCTTGACTCTCCTCTTTTGGTATCGATAAGCTTCGGGAGATAAAACAAGGCGAGCTAAGGCGAGACTGAGACCGAAACCAAGACCTGCCGTGATGCCGTGGGCGCGCGTGCACCCAACGAACCGACTTACTGATCTATACAACGAAGACGGGCACGATAAATCATGCATTTTAACTGAGTCTCGGTCGAGAACTCACTACTCCTATGCAGGCACTTCGCATTTACTGCGTGATACCTCGCGCCCCGCTTCTCGCTAAAGACGAAGGTACGGGGCAAGGGCTGAAGGAGAAGAGAAGATAAGACCAAGCCAGCCACAAATCCGCGTCGACTTGATATAAACTCAGCTCGTGCTGAGATCTCATGATGGGTGCATCTCAGCCTTAGCTGAATGAGAGGGATTATGGAGATCGCGACATTTCCGCATGATCGAGACTGGCTAGACTAGCGTGTCGTCGAGCTCGCTTCTCTGAAACGTGCAAGCTCTGCGGGTTTGCCACGCTCAGAACACACAGTACACGGGATCTTGTCACACACGGCACAAGTTCGATTAAATACGTAACAAACTATCGAGAGATGTTAATATCATACATGTCAAGATAGAGTAGAAATCTGGCAAATTGGTATCGTATCTCATGGGCGTCATCAGCCCCAACAACCTTGGTCGTGCAAACCTGAGAGCAATGGCGCACATGGATCCAGGTTGGCTCAGCGGCACATTGACCGATATTGAGATTCTGGAAAGCTTTAACAAGATGCCATTTTGTTCTGCTGAGAAAGAGGCTGAGTGTCTTATTTATACAAACACTTGGCCTAGGTTTGACTAGGTTTTGCGGCCAAATAGTAAGTTTAGCAAAGAACACCCTATCCTCAATCCCTATCCTCAATCCCCCACAGGATTAAGGTCGAAATGAACCTTAATCCCAGATTTCTTAGCGAGTTTGCTAACTATATGTTACAATCTAAGTTAAGCTACTTATAAAGCTACAAATGTGGGTGAGGGTAAGTAAAATCTTAAGAGGAAAAAATTAATTCTTTTAGCTTACACGATAGAGTAAGCCTCTATGATTTTAATAGTGTATCTCTTATTTGAATGCGATTAGTAGTTATAAAGTTATTAAGAAAAAAAAGAAAGTAGAAAGAGAGAGATTTTGCATAGAACCTCGCTAGTCCTAGAGGTTCTAGCTTCAGCGCCAGTACTTACATAGATTTTTAGCTTCATTACGCTAGTACTAATTAAGAAGTTTAGCTTATTTCTTTTAAAATCGTAGGCGGTATATTAGCTCACTATTGTTAGGGAGAGCACGCAGCTACACGCGCCTACCACGCTGCCAAAATGGCAGGCACAAGACAACAAAGCTTCGTTGTTGTCTGCGTAGCTGATACTTAAGCTTGTACGGGAGGCACCGTGACACTACCACGCCCTAAAACCGATCTAGATTAGAGAGGTCAGAAAAAAGACCAAAACAGAACAAATCAGATTAATAATCACATACTTTCATCACAGTCTTTGATAATACATGTCAATCTAACTACTATGCTATTAACTATATCATCTACTAAGTTATCAAGATGATGTTTGTCTCATAAGGTTATAAGAATCGTAAGATTTTAATCAAAGAGTTGATTTAGATATTAATAGTACTTAGATAAAAACTCCTCTAGAGTAGTAAAATGAAAATCTGGCAAAAGACGATTCCACGTGTCCGAAACAGCGTAACCACCTAAGTAGACAGAGTACATTATTTTTGCGTTGAATGTCCGGCTCCAAGACTCTCTAAGTTGCTCCGGTATAGCAGCGTGATTGAAGTCAGCGACCCAAGAAGTCGGAAGCCGACCAGTTCGCGCCTGCGACAGTGTGATGTACTCAATGTCGAATTTCTTGCCTGTACCATTACAGTGTCGTTGTCAGTATTTTTCATGTACTAGAGCCATCTCTCGTCAAAAATACCTCTAAGCTTTTCCCCGATCTCAACGAGCTCAGGGGCAGACAACATGGCGGAGTGCATGCCACCCTCTACAGGCCACTCTCCGGGATAGTCTACTGCTTCAGCTGCGACAGCGGCGATGTCTTTCACCGCAGTCAGGCCGAAGCGGCCAGGATTATCCTCCTTAAGCAAAATCGCACGACAATTGAAGAAATCCACTTGCATCCCAAGGTTTGGGAAGTGTTTGCAGGTCTGCTTCGGGTATGCGAGGTAGTCTAGAGCAAGGCCCGGCATGAATCGGCAGTACTCGATAACCTGTGATACGGAGGCTACGGTCAGCGGAGGGACAATGTTCCTGAACTATAGTGGAGCCTGCCTTTTTCTCAGTATTGAGCTCCTGTAGATATGCTGAGACAGCTGCTTTCCCTGCATACCATGGAGTTCCTGTTGATGACACCCTACACCATTTAGACGTCAGAACAGTCTTGTCTATATCAGGGTATAAATCTACTTCAAAAGATTATGGTGAACCGACCCTACCCACTCGCTAGGTGCAAATCGTCTGACCTTGGCTTCAACACAAGCATCAATCAGGTTCTTTTGCGCGACATTCCCAGGGTCCTTTCCAGTGATAATGAAGGAAAACACTGTTTCAACGCCTTGGAGTGCGTCAACGATCTGACCTTTCTCATTATAGTCTAGTTGAATGGTCTGTACACCGTTCGGCAAAGCTACTTGCGTTGGGTCCTAAAGCACGGGTTATCAGGGTCGAACGAAAAATAGACAATGTGTAGATACGTTACCTGACGCGTTAGGACGATGATATCGTGTTTGTCCTTGGCAAGTAGAGCATCAATAACTTCACGGCCCAAACCGCCTGTGCCTCCTGCGAGAGCAACTTTGACCATGGTTATCTCAAGGTCTGGTGACTGCTTTAGAATTGTTTGCAACTTTTCTCATCAAATCTTTGGAGGAAATGTATTGTAAAATAATAGACTTGCAATGTTTCAGCGGACACAGTCTTGCATGTGGCTATGCCCCTGTCTGTCTAGTCTGCTTATCATTAGGCCAACGGCGGCGGAGGCCCGCATAAATAGGACAAAAGGTCAAAAAATCCCGCAATTACAAGGATTCTACGGTCGGGTATTTACAAAAATGACTTTTCAAGGTCCTGACTAATAGGGGTGTTAATATTACTGCCGTGATATCACCATCGCTTAGAGATAAGGGATACCTACCGTTTCTGGTAGCACGACTCGCGCCTAAGGATGGCGTCCCACCACCCTTGTTGGAGGCCTAACGAACGATGTATAGTCGTCCCTTCTCTGTGTTGTCTCGTAGATTGCTTACTAAGACGTTGTATTATAAGCGCAGGAACGAGACGCTTTACAGACCTGGGATTACGCTCTTGGAGCTTTTTATTCATCTCTATAAGCTTGACTTGCTCTCTTTTAATTGTCATTCGTCTGGCGTCTTTGAAGTATAAAGGTTCTCCCTCGTTTAGGCGACATCCATGCACAGCTCTCTCACGACGATGCACATAAGCAATCTCAGTAGTGTTTATCTATTGCAGAGCTTTAGCAAGTCTATGAGTAGCCTAGGCCATTGCGAGAGCGCCTTTGCACGTAGTATCTAGAGCGCTAAGCAAATTGTCGTTAATATCGCAGTCCTCCCAAAGACTCTGTTGCAACTCTGTGAGTTGATTGTTGAGTACGCGTGTCGCGGAGTGCTCCAGGCCTAGAGTTCCTCTGAAGCTCCGGCGTTGTCTCTGTATACTTCTACTGGCTGTAGATCCACGCGGGGCACCGCGATAAGTCCAATTGTAGCAAGGACGATGTCCAGGGCCTATATAGCTAGTCCTATACATCGCTATCCACTTTATATTTTGTTTTAGGTGAACGTCTAACGTCGTATTTCATCGAGAGTAGTAAAAATATCCTTCTTTACAATCTCTTTAGCGCCTATACGCGCCGCCTAAATAACCGTCTTTCTACAATACTATTTTAATAGCTGAAAGCAGCCTATATTAGTGGCCGTAGAAAAGGCGGTGTGTATGGGGGAGAGTAACTGCGAGTGTATAATGGAGCTCACAGTACTCCAAAAATTTATATGTATTATGAGATTTAGAGCTGCTAAGTAATAGGAGCCTCTATAGATCTTTCGTATAAGATATTGTTTCTTTCTTAAATTCCTATATGTAGTAAAAAGTTATTAGATCTATTAAATAGCCTAAGAATAGTTATAGTACTAATAAAGTAATCGTTAGGGAGGTCAGTTGCCTGTCAGAAGCTCAGCTTCATGCCACTAGGCCACTGCAACCAAAAAGGTACGAGTAATCAGCATTCTTGCTGATCTCGGACACAGGACAGTATATATCCTGATAGACTCTGCCCAGGCCTACCCCGCACACGTTAGCCTTACCCAAGCGCCTGACATTGACTAGTAACCAAGAATTAATTTATCTTTAATAATGATTGTAAGCATAATTAAATAGCTAGACATAGAGATCTATTCTATAAGGCTAACAAGCTCTCTATTATTATATATTAGTATAAGGACATCTCGACTATATTACACGTAGACAGCCTGCCTCCTTGAAATACTAATCTAGATGCTAATCTGTCCGATATTATATAGATCCTCCTTATGTATAAGAAGTAAGCCTATAAGCTCTTTAAGCTACATAAACTATCGTTATAAGGCCTTTAGGTCCTACGCTAACTGGTGCGCAAGCTTAATTAGCTAGCTTCTTAATCTTATATATTTCGTATACCGTTTAAGCCAGCCGCGAGTCTAGTCCTGGCTAATAATAGGCAGCTCTGTATGAGCCTACTAAACGCCGTAATAATCATAGTTCTATGCGCTGGAGCTACTTGTTGCTCTTCTTGAATCTACGCCATACTTCGTCTGAAGTGTCGTCCGCAAGGGCAAAGTGCGCACAATGAAGCAAAGTAGAAACGCCACGGCCGTAAAAGCTAGCGCAACTTGCCATACCATTCGGAGGCTCGAGACGAAAATGTCTTTGGCCACAGTAAGTACCTGTGGCGTGCCCTGTAAGGACTCTGTGAAGGCTTTGCTTGCTTTTGAATATGCTTGGCCGTCCGATAGCGCCTGTTTCAAGAAGGTATCAGAGATGCTGCCCAACATGGCTTCGACGCGATTTTCAAAAACCGCGGCCGCGATGGCGACGCCCCACATGTATCCGAAATTGCGCGTAGACGTGGCAAACCCGACCGCTGCAGCAACATCATCTTCTGCAAGGCTCGCCAACCCAGCTGGAAGGCAGCTCGTAAGAAGGACGCCGAACCCAAGCGCAAAGGGAACCTGGAAGCCGAGCAGATAGCTAATCGGGGAATTTGCATTCAGAAGAAGAAGCAGGCCGAATCCGACCATCAGCAATCCGAATCCTGCGAAGTGGAAGAACCGATATTTGCCCGTCTTTGCGACAATAACTCCCGCGAAGATGCCGGCAGGAGCTGTCAAGATACTCGTTGGAAGTGCTAATACAGCGGCTCGCATTGGTGACGCCCCTAAAACTCCTTGGCTGTAGACACTCAGGAAGTAGATGAGCGAGTATAGCAGCATGGCCTGCAGGAAAATCAACACGAAGATAGTGGCGGAGGTGCGATTTGCAAAGATGCGAAGAGGCATGAGGGCATAAGTACGCTTCTTATTCGCAGCCTCGAGCGCGACAAAGCCGACAATACCTAGGACACCAAGCAGCAACGGAAGCAACACAGGCCAGGAAGACCATTCATATCGGCTGCCAGCCCAGCTTATCGCCAGAAGCACCGAACTTGTTGATCCAGTGAACAAAGAGCTCCCATACCAGTCGATACAGGCCAATCGATGCCGTATGGTGCCTTGGCTTGGATGCTTGACTCGGAGGAATTTGACGACGATCGCCATTGCAATGGCACATGCGGGCAGGTTGATCCAAAAGAGCCATCTCCAAGAGAGGTGCTCAGTGAAAGCGCCACCAACTGAAGGGCCGATGACAGTTGCTACCTACGCGCAAGAGTTAGCAAGAATTGGCCAGGCGAAAGAGTCGCACGTACTGTCCATGCTACATTGATAAAGCCGTTGTACAGGCCACGCTCTCTTATTGGCACTATATCGCACATGATCAAGGAAGACATCGTAAGTATGCCACCACTTCCTATCCCTTGGATTGTACGCCCGAGAATCAAAATCGCAGTGGTCGGTGCGGCACCACAGCAAGCACTGCCGATAGCGAACAACATTATTGAGGTCATCATCACAGATCGCCGACCGAATAGATCGGAAATGTGCGCGCAAATGAGACTCGTAACTGTGCAGGCTACCAAAAAAGCATTGACTGTCCAAACGAAAAGCTGCCTGGATTGGAGCGCGGATGCGATAGTTGGTAGGGCTGGCGATAGTATGGATGTGTCCAGAGCGCTTAAAAAGGACGAGAGACTAATCGAAAAGATGATCATCCAGAACCGAGCATCTTTAGGAGGGGCATTGTCTTGTTCTGGACATATTGGGGGAACGTCTGTCGGGATGTCTAGCTCGAATGTCTGATGCCGGACATCTGCGTTGCTTGATTTGGGCGATATTGCCATCATTGGTATGGTCAATTTTAAGTTCTCCGGCGAAGTAGCTAAATGCTGTTGAATAATCTATCATTCTCCGTATCCACAGAGCGCGTTTAAAAATCAATCTGGCTAACTGGTTGAAGTCCTTCCTGATAGGATCCACTAGTTATTACTGCAGCCGAAAGCCACTGTTAGTAAATTAGCAGTTCCCTATATCTGTACATCTTCAGGGCCGATGCCACTAGACTCACCGCGGTCTGCTAGAATTAGAATACGCTCTAGGCAACTGATCAGAAAGCGCACGTCTGTTATTGTTAGAACAGAGCATTCGTGTATAGGATTGTAATCGATTTAACTTCAGCACTACCTGGGCCTGGGCCTGGATTGCTTGGCTGGACTGTTATCCCTTGGCACGCCCAGCATTCGGGGAAATAATGTGGGCTGTGGACCGGATGCTAGCAGCCGGGATCAGTCTAGCATCTCCAGATGTGAGTTGTTTTCTATTATTTGACCGAGAAGTGAGGGGTTTATATTCCCGCCGGTTGCGGTCTTTTTTCGGGGTTTGTTACATATTCTAGGCTCTGTTTTTTGAACGGAAGTACAAACAGGAATGTATTCCGAAGAAAAACAGAGGTCACAAGGTAGAAATAGAGACTCTGGTGTGTTAGGACTACTGTACTCCGTACTAAACTAAAGCTTGTTTAGTGCGTACATGACATATATATCTTCCCTATCCTAAGATGAGTTGGGGATAAAGGTAGAGTCAGGTCTCACGTAAGTTAACCCTACCCTTACCTACCCTACCTATTTACCAACCAAGACATACTACGTACGTCGACTACTATAGTCAAGACATTTCTCAAACGCTGTCATTTAATTGAACATAAACCTCACCACACGAATCTGCTGCTGCCATCCTGAATCAATCAACGAACTATGGGTAAGCAAGATCATTACATCAAGCTGAAATTCGCATGAGATACCCTCCATTAACATTATAGAAGTATACGAGCCAAAGTCCTTCACGATTACTCCGCCCTTGATATGACTACAACCCCAGAGCCCATAGCTGTAGTTGGTGTTGGGTGCCGCTTCCCAGGCGGCTGCAACACGCCATCAAAGTTGTGGGATCTCATCTGCGAGCAACGAGACATCCAGTCGAAGATCCCTGCCGAGCGATACAACAGTGATGCCTTCTATAACGAGGATGGGTCAAAACCGGGATGCACCAACGTCAACCATGGCTACTTTCTCGACGAAGATATCAGAGCATTCGATGCGGCCTTCTTCAGGATGAATCCAGCTGAAGTAGAAGCAGTGGACCCACAACAGCGCATGCTGCTTGAGACTGTCTTCGAAGCTCTCGAATCTGCTGGTACTACAATAGACCAGCTCCAAGGTACGGATACAGCAGTATACGTTGGTTGCATGACCAGCGACTATGTCGAAATGCTCTTGCGGGATCCCCTCGATTTTCCGAAGTACATGGCACCGGGAACAGCTAGGTCTATCTTGTCTAACAGAATATCGTACTTCTACGACTGGCATGGACCATCCATGACTATCGATACCGCATGCTCGGCAAGTCTTGTGGCAGTACACGAGGCAGTACAAGCGCTTCGATCAGGCATATCTAGAGTCGCTTGTGCAGCAGGGTCTAACGCCATTCTTGGTCCGGAAAACTTCGTTATCGAATCTAAGTTACAACTCTTGTCTCCTACGGGAAGAAGTCGTATGTGGGATGCTGCAGCGGACGGATACGCACGCGGAGAAGGAGCGGCTGCATTAATTATGAAAAAGCTTTCGCACGCGCTTGCTGATGGGGACGAAGTCTACTGCATCATTCGCGAGACGGGTGTCAACTCTGACGGCCGGACCAATGGAATTACTATGCCTTCTGCGGAAGCACAGGCCGCGTTGATTCGGAAAACGTACGCTCGTGCTGGCTTGGACCCGCTCAAGGATGGATGCCAGTTCTTTGAAGCTCATGGAACTGGCACCCAGGCTGGCGATCCACAAGAAGCGCGTGCCATTCACGACGTTTTCTTCCCTGAGCTTCGAGACTCAGCTGACGTTCTCTACGTTGGTTCTGTGAAGACTGTTATAGGTCATCTTGAGGGGGCTGCTGGAGTAGCAGGGCTCATTAAAGCTGCTGAGGCAGTACGAAGAGCTGTGGTGCCTCCGAACATGCTTTTGCAAAAACTGAATCCAGCTATTGAGCCATTTTGCGTCAATCTCAAGGTGCCAACGCAGTCCTTGCCGTGGCCACACTTACCATTAGGTGGCCCAAGACGGGCTAGTGTGAACTCGTTCGGTATGTTTTCTCTCATCACACTGGTTTCCGTGTTGCTGACGCGTCAATCGCAGGTTTCGGGGGCACCAATGCACACGCGATTATTGAGAGCTACGAACATCAAACATTCACAAGACGAGGACCGCAACAACTTAGTATATTTCCCTCGCCAGTACTGCTGTCTGCAAATTCAGATCTGTCCCTCCGGGCTCAAGCGACAGCACTCGCTGATTTTCTCGAGTCCAACGAGTCGACTTCTTGGCTTGACTTACTGTATACTTTACAGTCCAGAAGGAGCCAGCATTACGTTCGATTGGCTTTGTCATCGACCTCTAGAGAAGATCTTCTCCGCAAGCTCAGAGCTACTGCACAATCTAACAGCAATGTTGGTATCAACATGACAAAACCCTCCTCCAGCTTTCGCTTCCTTGGCGTATTTACTGGACAAGGCGCTCAATGGGCTACCATGGGCAGTGAGCTATTGAGAACCTGCTCAACAGCGCAGAAGTGCTTCAAGCAGCTTGATGCCTCTTTGTCCACGCTCCCAGATGCGCCAGCTTGGACTCTCTCTGAACAATGCCGCGCCGGGAGTGACACTTCGCGACTTGGTGAAGCAGTAATTGCACAGCCACTCTGCACTGCAGTACAGATCATGGTGGTCGACCTCTTGAAACAGGCTGGTGTTGATCTGCACTCAGTTGTGGGTCATAGCTCCGGAGAGATTGCTGCTGCATACGCCGTGGGTGCTATCTCCGCACATGATGCAATCCGCATTGCATACTATCGTGGCCTCTATGTCTCTCTTGCTAGGAGTCAGGATGGAAAAAAAGGTGCTATGATGGCTGTAGGCTTGTCGTATGAGGAGGCTTGCGAGCTTTGTGAAGGCGAATTCGCCAGACGTGTGGATGTCGCGGCGTGGAATTCAGACACAAGCGTCACCCTATCCGGCGACGAAGATGCGATCTTGGAGATCAAAGCCAGGCTAGAAGACAGAGAGGTCTTTGCTCGGTTGCTCAAAGTCGATACCGCATATCACTCGCACCATATGGTGGCGTGCTCGAGTGCATATACGAAGGCCTTGCAATCTTGCTCGATCAAGCCAAATCATCCCAAAAGGGGCCGTACATGGTTCTCTAGCGTATATGCCGGAAGAATTGAAGGTGATCTCATCGCAAAGTTATCCTGCGATTATTGGGTCGATAACCTGCTCAGCCCGGTCATGTTTCACGACACCATCGAGACTGCGGCTCACGGAGACCTGCTCTGCAATGCCGCGATTGAAGTTGGACCACATCCAGCATTGAAGACTCCCGTGTCACAAACATACCAGCGTACCATCAATCGCCAGCTCCCTTACTACGGAACTCTCTTCCGTAGGCGTAACGACATCGAAGCACTTAGTGAGACTTTAGGGGCTCTTTGGGTTCAGCTTGGTTCTAACGCTGTTGACTTTGCTCAATACAATCAAGCTTTCTTTGGCACGAACCCAGTCCCCACGTTGATGACACTACCAGGCTATAAATGGGATCATAGTAAGCAATTTTGGAAAGAAGGACGCAAGTCACTAGTGTACCGCACACGAAGTGAGAAGGCTCATCCATTACTCGGCAAACGTGCTGTCGACGACATTGACGAGGAAAAACGATGGGAGAACTGCTTACGGCTTCAGGACTTGCCTTGGCTTTCGGGCCATGTCGTCCAGGGCCAGGTAGTATATCCAGCTGCGGCATACTTGGTGATGGCGCTCGCGGCATCTCGAACGCTGGTCTCGGAACAGGAAGTGGCTTTCTACGAGCTTTCCGACGTGGAGATTGATAGCGCAATTCTACTCGGGGAGAATGATGCCAACGTCCGGACCCTGTTCACGCTGAATACTGTTTCAGTGCGAAGGTCTGTTTCAGATATCCAGGCTGAGTGGGCTTGTCGTTCCGTGTCCGCTGATGACAACAACGCAAAGTGGCGTGTCAATGCGAAAGGGAAGGTCAGACTCTTGCTGAAAAGCAAATGTGCTGAGAAGCTTCCACTGCGTATTGCCGTTGCTCAGACCTTACTCACTCGTGTGGGCTCGGACAGACTTTACAGCAACATCGAAAGATTGGGAATGTCTTATTCAGGGCCTTTCAGGCGTTTAGAAGATATTCAAAGAAGATCGAAATACGCCACTGCTACATTGAGAGGCCTTGAGACGACGGATCCTATTCATCCAGCTGTCCTTGATTCAACATTCCAGCCATTAATTGCAGCGATGGGATATCCAGGAGACGGCTCAATGAATTCTGCTTGTGTGCCGACCCAGATTCGCTGCATACGAATTGCCGGCTCTCAACACATGTCAAACAGTGGTAGGCGCTTAATTGTGGACACTTTCGCCACAGCATCAGGTGCGCGTTCCTTCACAGGTGACGTCGAGCTGTACGATGTCGAGAGCGGAGATGCATTGATGCAGGTGGAAAGTATCACATGCACGACTTTGAGTCAGCCCAGTCCGAGCGACTACAAGGAGCTTTACACGAAGGAGGTCTGGGAACTAGACATTGGAAGTGGCGTTACAATCAGCCAGAGCGGCCGGAAAGATAAGCCAGAGGATCTTGATCTACTGTCATTCCAAGAACGTCTGGCGTATTCCTATCTCCGAAGGTTCTATCGATCATTCTCAACCACGGACGTATCCTTGATGGAACCACACTTCACCAGGATTTTCGAGTGGCTTGAGAACCTGTTACCAATCATCGCCTCCGGCCATCATCCTACTGTGAAGGCAGAATGGGCGGACGATGATCACGAGATGTTGCTTCAAGAAGCCTTGAAATTCTCAGACAGAGTTGAATTGACCTTGCTCCAAGCTGTCGGTGAGAACTTTGCGTCCGCTGCGCGGGGTGAGACCACCATGCTTGAGCACATGATTAAAGACAACATTCTTGAACGAACGTATACTGAGATGGTCGGTGTTCCATACCTCAGCTCTTGTATCGGCAAGGTGGCGCGGCAAATCGCCCATCGTTACCCACATATGAATATTCTTGAAATAGGTGCAGGCACAGGCAGCTTTACTAGTGGCATGTTGCAAGGTCTGGGGTCGACATTCGGCGCTTACACTTATACGGATATCAGCTCTGGTTTCTTCGAGAGTGCTGAGAAGCGCTTCGGGGAGTGGTCCCACAAGATGGAATTCCGACAATTGAACATAGAAGGGGATGCTGAACCACAAGGCTATCAACACAACACCTATGATATGGTCGTGGCGGCAAATGTGCTCCATGCAACCAAGTCAGTGAACAAAACACTTAAAAACGTTCGACAACTCTTGAAACCTGGTGGCTACCTCCTCCTAGTCGAGTGGACTGGCGAAAATCTCGGTCGATTCACAACCTACGCGGGCCTTCCTGGTTTTTGGTTGAGCGAGGATGGTCGGACTGACGGTCCCACGCTGAATAAAGATGAGTGGAACGAACACTTACGGGACACGGGATTCTCTGGCATCGATATCTGGATACCCGATATGGCCGATGCATCCAAGCACCTCAGCTCATTAATGGTTGTGCAGGCAGTCGATCGAGACATAGACATAATACGTTCCCCACTTACAGCCACCACGAATCCGCTTACAGGACATGCTATCACCATCATTGGTGGACGTATGACTGGCCTCGACAAAGCAATCAAAGGCGTTCTGACGAGCAGCTTTTCAGGAACCAACATTCATCTAGTCGACAGCTTGGCGAACTTGGTGGACGAGGAAATTCTCCCATCCTCATTGATATGCCTCGAGGATCTGGACAGCCCTGTCTTGCAAGATCTTTCAGAGGCAACCCTCAAGACACTTCAAAGGATTCTTCCCAATTGCCGACATGTAGTGTGGGTTGGCCGTGAAGGCCGCTTTGCCAACTTATCGATAGGGCTTTGTCGGTCACTAGCCAATGAATATGGACAGATGGCCTTGCAGTTCCTTAAAATCTACAATCCTATCGATCTGAGGGTATCGGTAACGATTGCTGAGTCGATGGCACGCATTGTATACTCTTCGACTTGCAATCGCGGGCTTTCCTGGCTTTGGACTTCTGAGCCAGAGCTAGTCGTCGATCAGCAGAATCGGCTATTCATCCCTCGATTGTTCCCAGACACCCTCTTGAACGATCGCTACAATGCCAATACACTACCCATCAAAAAATCTGTACAACTTGACAATCAGTCTGTCATAGTCAGGAAGACCAACGAGGCATTTGATATCTGCAAGGTTGATTCGACCAGCCCGCCGCACATTCGTATCACGTGTGCCCTCCTTCGGCCGATAATTATCTCAGAGGAGAGCTATTTCGTCAGCTATGGGCATAAAGAGCATCGAGAAGATGACGGTTTTGTGGTGTTATCACCTACTTGTAGTTCATCGGTCCCTGTATCTGAAAATTGCAAAGTGTCTGTGGGCCATCACTCAAATGCACGAGACATCCTGCCATGGATTGCAAGCAAGATGCTCGTGCAGCGTTTTCTTCACAACTTTGACACGTATCGATGCCTGGCAGTCAATGAACCAGATGAAATTATCGGAGCCGAGTTGCTGCGTACAGCGGCAGAGTACGGCATCAAGATAATTTGCTTCTCCTGCCAAGGAAAGGCTGGTTGTACTCCAGTACATGCTCTAGGCCCAGATCGAGATCTACGACGTGTTCTCCCTAGTGATGTGGGGACATTTCTTAATTTTGCACCTGACCAGGCGTCCCGGTGGATCAGAGTACTCCCGACTCGCTGTACCTATATTACGGTCGAAGACCTGTGGAAATGTGAACTCTCTCTCAAAAACTTTGCCAGCATTACAAAAGAGGTTTTCGCTGAGGGTTTTTCAGGCGTGGAAGTTGCCGATGTTGTATCCATTTCTGACTTATCCAGCATTACTCCAGGAAGCCTCTCATACTCGAGCGTCGTTGATTTCTCGGCAGCCACACATATCGAGGCTCTAATGATGCCTCCAGATTACAGCCAAGTCGTGCGTGACGATGGCACGTACTTCATGGTTGGCTGTGCGGGTGGTCTGGGTCGCGCTGTGTGTTCGTGGTTGGTGGAAAAGGGCGCACGATATCTCGCACTTGTCAGCAGGAATGTATCGTCGATCAACAAGGCTTGGCTGAATGAGATCGAATCCAAGGGCACGAAAGTAAACCTGTGCCAAGCAGACGTGTCAGATATGGACGCACTGCGGTTGGTCCTGTCGAAAGTCAAAACAGACATGCCACCAGTCATAGGTGTAGTGCATGCCGCCATGGTATTGAAGGACAAAGCCTTTGGGGGGTGCAATGTCGATGATTTCGTCACTGTGTTCGGGCCAAAGGTGAAAGGCACCGAAAATTTGCACCACTTGTTCATTGACGAACCATTGGATTTCTTCATCATGTTCTCGTCCATTGCAAGTCTGCTCGGGAGTCCAGGCCAGTCAAACTATGCTGCAGCAAATTTGTGCATGACAGCGATTGCAGCAGAGCGACGAGCCAGGGGCCTTAGCGCTTCTGTCATTCACATTGGCGCGGTCACTGGGTTAGGATACGTCCTGGACTCTGGCATTGAACGCAAGTTACTTACAAACTATGACATGCCAATGCCTATAAGTGAGCCCGCATTTTTGGATATCTTCGCACAAACGATACTGATCGGACGACCTGGTTCCAGCCACTCTCCAGAAGTAATCACCGGGGTGCCGCGTTACAGCCTGGATACAGTGTTAGAGACCAGATACGGGAGTAACCCTAAGCTTTCCCATCACATGATCGAGCAGGCGACAACCAAAACCGAAGCTTCTGCCACAACTATCAGTATCCTTCAATCAGTGGATAAGAGCCAGAGCCAGGATGAGGCAGCTCTCATTATCCAACGCGCTCTATGCGCAAAGCTGGAGAAGACGCTGCAAATGCCTGCGGATACTATCGACTGTGCTCAACCACTTATGAATCTCGGCGTTGACTCTCTTATCGCCGTCGAGATTCGTTCTTGGTTCTTGAAGCACCTGGATGTCAGTCTTCCTGTTCTGAAGATTCTTGGCGGTAGCTCTGTCGGTGACATATGTTACGAGGCAGCTTCGAAGGTCTTCGCCACTTCGAACAAGGCGCGTCTTGATCCAGTAGATCATAATAAACTAGTGTCACCGCCGACCACGCTTCTCAAAACTCTATCGGATACGCAAGACAATTCCAGTTCAGAATCGAGTGAAGATATGGGGTATAGCCGGCCGGCCAGTGTTTCTCCGGAATCGGACATCGACCGTATCGACCGCGAAGGACCACTTGCATATGAGCAAAAGAAAATATGGTCTGCATTGAAAACCTACCGCGATCCCACATTATGCAACCTTGCAGTCATCTTCAAAATAGCCGGCCAGCTGAATCTTGTTAAGCTCGAGCAGGCAGGTCAACAGGTAGTCCAGCGACATGAAATTCTGAGGACTAGGTTCGCACAGGATCCATCCACTGGCGAGATAATGCAGTACGTGATGGCGCATAAGAGCACCCAGCTAGACGTCAACCCAGCCATCACGCCGCAGGAGGCTTTCGACGCCGTACGCTCTCACACCTTTGATCTGAATGCTGGGGAGACCATGAAAGCGATTACCGTCCCACACGAAGACCATATCTACCTCGCAATAGCGTGGCATCATCTCGCTTTTGATGGTTTCAGTCCAGTACCATTTCTTAAAGACTTGAACATTACCTATTTTGGCGGAACTCTGCCACCTCTGAAGTATCAGTATCTAGACTTTGTTAATGATCAGTTGCGAAAAACTGGTCAAGTTAAAGACCGTTTGGCGTACTGGACTTCAGAATATCGGCATCTGCCGAGCACACTCCCTCTATTCCCATTCTCGAAAACAGAGGTGCGTCCGATGATGCTGTCACAAAGACCTAAGCCGCGACCAACTGTGGAGAAGACACTCCACGTCCAGCTTTGTGCCGCTGTCAAGAGTGTTTCTCGAAAAATAGGTGCTACGCCTTTTCATGTGTACTTGGCAGCGCTCCAGGTGCTATTCTACCGCATGCTGTCCGTGCAAGATGTATGTCTAGCAATTCAGGTTAACAATCGCGAGGCGGAGTTCGACGATAATATCGGAGAATTCGGTGGTCTGTTGCCCATTAAACTCCAAACACAGGATAATTTCGCACAGCTGGTTAGACATACCAGGGACAAGACGCAAGAAGGGCTTCAAGCAATTGTACCACTTCAGTCCATTATGGCCGCTTTGGATGGACCGGAATTGGATCGTCACGGGTCACTCTATCAGGTTTCGGTCAATTACATGCCTAGCCCAGTCCGGGACATATCACTCGGCGGGCATACAGCCGAAATCTTGAAGTATAATCGGGTCGGTGGGTACGCATGCGACCTCGATCTAGAGTTGCAGGACCTCGGCAATGATCGCATGCTCTTGGTTATGCGAGGCCGGCAGGATTTGTATGATGAGCTTGGTGTACAGACACTACTAACTATTTATGAATGTGTCCTTTCCACGCTTGTAGAGGACACAGCGCGATCTATCTCTGAGGTGAACGTACCTTCTACGGCGGAAATCGAGTTGTCCCTGAGTAAGTATCAAATAAAAACTAATATACCGCGATTTACTAATTGAGGGAAAGATAAGACAACGATTGTCCGGGTCGATGATTGGACCGAGTGAAGAGTTGGACATGGATCTAGCGAATAGACCAAACAGACCAAGGGGTATTTACCTAGGTTAAGACTGCACCTCATATAACTATCACTACTATATGGTTAGATCTAGATTAGTCTTCTCACCAACTTCGAGTTTTCTAGAATAGGTGTAATATCAGTCAAATATATACAAATAAACCCTAAGAAATCGATTAC